TTTTTTGTTATATATCTATGTATCTGCATAATTACTTTTTTTTGTACTTATTTCCTTACGATGGTTTATGACTGACCAATATTTTTATTTTCTTTATAGGATTTTGGAGTGGTTCATCTGTGCTATACCCATATGATAAAAATAATTTAGAATTACGTACCCATTCAGGATTTATTGCAGCGGCTAAATCAGCCGAGAAACAATCAACAGAAAAACGAGTTGCAAATGTAGAAGGTGTGAAGGGTTTATCATGTTTATTAAAAATTATTTCATATCCCCAACAAGTTGTGCTAGATTATATGCACCTCGTGTGTTTAGGTCATGTACAGACTTTAATTAAAAGGTGGTGCCAATTAATTAACAAAGCTGATATAATGAAAATGGATAGTATGTTATCCATGACACGTTTTCCACATAACATACATGTTATGTACAATGAATCAATTTTAGCTGTTGACTCGTGGAAAGCTAAACACAGCAGATTGCTGGTCCTGAATCTCGGTATACCTATTGGTATGTTATCAATTTCATGCTTTTTCTTTCATTTATGAATTCCTGACATAAATTAAGAATTATTATTTCGTCTTTTTTTCTTTTCTTTTAGGTATAGCTTGCCTACCTACATTACATGCATCACATTGGACAATTTACTGTTTGCTTGTTAAATTATTGCATGCACCACAATCATCTGAAGAGATAGATTTTGCTGAAAAATTAATTAATTATTATTGTCGTACAATTGTTGATGTTTATGATAAATCATTAGAATTATTTTCGTTACATGCACATCTCCATTTACCCGGTCAAGTACGACTACATGGTGGTTTATCAACATCATCAGTAAGATATTCATTCGTTAAATAGAACATCAGATGATAAATCATAATTTTTCTTTATCATAGGCATTTACATTTGAGTCTTGTATTCGATATTTAAAAAGTAAGGTGCATGGTACAAAATATCTGGCTACACAAATAGCTTATTGGTATGATATTGAAACCATCGTCAAAACTACAACATTTGAAGTAACAGCACCATGTGGTGTTAATGCAATTAATATTTTTAATGAAAAAATGAATCATTATCGTAAAATAATAGTTACTCTTCTTCGTACTCATCAACAAGATTTAAACCAAATTATATTTTACACACGTTATAAGAAACGCTTTTTAACTTTCCATACAGTACTTTATGATAAACCATATAAATGTCGTAGTTACATCGTATCATACATTAATAATAGTAGTGATTATGACGCGCTCAATTATGCAAATATAATTGTATTTTATAAATATCACAATGATTATTTTGCACTTATACAAAAATATCATTTTTCACGAAAAAAGCTCTCGCATTACGTAGAATTACCTGTAGAAATATGTCAACAAGTGGATAAATTATTTCCATTACTTGAACTGTCGGATGATTATAACATTATTCCTGTAGCAATGGTTCACCATCAATGTATAATGGTAGAATTTGAAGATGTTTGTTGTTTATCAGAATTAAGAATTGATTCTGAACATGATTAAATAAAATATTAAATAAATGATTTGACTTAATACTTTGTTGATATTTCGATAGAGTATGTTTGTTGTTATTGTAGATTTGATTTTT